ATTACGAAGCCATGATAACGACTTGGTTGGCACGGTGTTTGGGAGTCAGACCACGAAATGGTCCTAGATTTTGTTTTACATGGGCGCCTTCGCGCAACGTGACAGCATGTGGCGCAAGGATTCGCACTTTCACTAATGTAATGATATGTTCACAACTACTTCAAATATCCTTCATGTTCACTTGAATTACGCCGCTTTTTCACCTACACTCACCAATCATCTCTGGTGTCGAAACTCTTCATCGAAGAGAACCTGACAAACATGGCTTTAAAACACGATCTTTGGAAGTACAAGGGTTCTCGGTCGTTCTCAAACTGTTTACGTAACTGCCTCAAAACGCAGCTTATTTTTTCCTGTCAGCATTGTGCAGGCCTTCTCCCTCGCCACCATGTCCACGATACACTAGGGCTTTGGCACCGACCTCACCTATGATCAAAGCTATGCCAGGTTTAACTTTGTACAATATGCATAAGCTTTCGTACTCACATGGTATCTGCCAGTGAGGAGTGCAATACTTATGTGCCTACCTCACTCACCACATTCATCACGTGCTGACAAAGTCCTGGTAATACAGGCAATGTCGAGTGAGCGACAGAGGGGATGATAGACTGCGAAGATGTAGATCTTGATACGATGAAGTGCCAAGTGTCAAGGTGGACGAATAAATATGTCAAGCACGTTCGAAAATACTAAGACGGCCACTGAGAGCATTAGCGTGCCCCATCATGAACAATGCAGATTTTATCGAAATCGTTGCAGAGGGGGTTTATCCCCTCTGGACAAACTGCCAGTAGCCATCATGATTCAGGTCATAATAAATCACGAAGTGAAAAACTAAATGTGAAGTGGACAAGTATCATTCCAAAAAACATCGCTACAAGAATCGAAGTTCCCCTTCTAGGAGAAGTATATGTACAAAAGGATCATCGCACATGATGCGGAATCGTTTACTGAAGGGCCTCAATCATACGGCGGATCTTGGCAGCAGACTCGCTACCAGCCTCTTGCTCAAGGAAAGCAATGAAGGTCTCGAGGGTGTATGTCTTCTCACCAGCACCGGCAGCAGGTGCAGATGAAGCAGCAGGCTTTGAGGGCTCAGTAGCGACGGGTGCTACAGAGGTAGGCTTAGCCTCGGCGGCAGCGGCGGAAGTAGGCTTAGCGGCAGAGGGCTTAGGGGCTTCAGCGGAAGGCTTGGGGGACACGGCGGTGGCAGTAGGCTTGGAAGCAGCAGCGGAGGAAGGCATAGGACCCTTGGAAGGACCGGGCTTGGTAGCCTCAGGCTTGACGCACTGAGAGTACCATGGGTTCCACTCCTTGCACTCAAGACCCTCGGCACACTCGCCGGTACCCTTGAAGCCCTGGCCACCGCACTGGTAGTACTCCTTGATGGGACCGGAAGCTTCGGCGGTCTGGGTAGGACGGACAGCGGTAAGCATAGTTGTGGGAGCAACGACAACGCTGGAAGTGACGACGGGGGATGCGGTGCCGGGAAGCATAGAGGAGGTGCTGTTTGCTACAGGGAAGGGAGCAACAACGCTGGAGACCTCAGGAGTAGGGGTAGAGACAACCTCAGACTCGACAGGGGCAGCCGCAGACGAAATGGCGACAGAGGTGACAGCTGCGGAGCTCTCAACAGCAGAAGACACCTCAACTGGTGCAGCGGAAGAAGGCTCAGCCTCAACAGCGGCGCTGCTGGTAGCAGGAGCAGCAGTAGAAGAGGCAGCGACGGAAACCGGAGTGGAAGCAGCGGGGGTCTCAGCGGCACCCCCGGTAGCGGTGGCGGCAGGGGCACCAGCGAGCTCGCCGAAAGTGAGGAGCTGAGGAGTAGCCTCAGTGCCGCCAGCGATCAGCTCAGGGCCAGGGGCGGGGTATGAGTCGAGGTCGGCGTGAATTGAGAAACCAAGACCGGGGCCAGTCTTTGAGTAGGCCTCAGGGAAGGTGACACCCTTAGGCTCGAGAGTTCCGCTACCAGTGACAGTAAGCTGGTAGCAAGTCATGTAGTGCTGAGCACCACCGGCTGGGCCTGCAGCGTGTAGGGCGATTGCCTCAGCACGGAGAAGGTAGTCACCAGGAGCGATGTTCTTGGGAATGGTGAAGTCGAGCTTTCCGCCTGCAGAGATATTAGACATGCCGCTAGAGTTATACATGTTTGTACGTACAGTTGTAGTTGAGGTCCTTGGTACCCCAGAAGTCGTTGTCGCCTTGAGTGGCATCTGGGTTCTTAGCCCAGGTGTTCTGGTAGACCTTGAAGAACTCGCTGGAACCGTCGGCGGTGGCTGCGTCCTCAACCTTGGACATGTATGCGAGAACAGGACCCCAGTGAGCACCACCGAGGCCTTCCTCTTTGCAGTCACGGGTGTTGTGCTGATGCATCTCGATGGTTACTGTGTCACCGGCCTCGAAGTCGCACTTTCCCTCAGCAGGAGCGGGGCTGACGTTGCCTATACTATTGTTAGCATTCATGACCGACCAGATCTACAGGAGACTGACATTGGAGAGCATTGCTGGTGTAATCCTCGACGGGGCTGTTGGAAGGTGGCAACCTGGCACAAGTGCTCTCGAGATCCTTTCCGTTCTTCCAGAGTTGTTGGAAAGTGGCGTGGGCGTTTGCAAGCGCCAAGATGGCAGGGAGGACAGCTACGGACTTCATAGTGTATATGTTGATGCGAGTAGTGATGTTTGGAATGAATGACTAGTCAAATATGACAAAAGAGTGACTGAAAAAGCAAAAGAACGAATGAATGACGAAGTCTCGTAGTGAAAGAATGTCCAGCGCAGCTGCGTTACTGTTTCAAAAGCTGGCGGGCTCCAAGGCTTATATCCTCCTCCAGCACAGGAGATGAGTTGAGCCGTGATGCCGAGGGATATGTGGCACGCTGCATGGTTAGCCGTTTCGTTTACCACCGGTCCAATCTCGAACCTAACGTCAGGGCGCTATGTGTCTGCAGCCACAGGCGGATAGATGAACGAAGGATGGGGTCCTATGCCACGAACAGAAGTCTTGGGAACCAGAACCAGGTCCATGGGTCAAGTCGAAAAGTGACAGGTTTGACGTGCGGGGCGCTGATTGGTGGATATGTACGGTGCCTGGAGTTCGAGCCGAGTATGGCTTAGTGCTGTTTTGACCTACGACAAGGCGAGATTCCTTTGCATTGCAGGGGCTCTTAGCCATCCTTCGCAAATTGTTGGTGATGCCATCCAACACAAGGGATTGCAGTGCATATCGATGCGTCTATCTTGGTGTTTTCTCTCTGCTAGAACAGTGCTGGTACTACTTGTAAGACATGAATTGCAACGACTATTCGAATGCATTGGGCCTGGCGGCAGCTCTGTCTCGGAGATGATTGTGTAACGGCGCAAAGCTGCAAATTCTATTGATGGTATCCTCCGCAATTTCAAAGAATCTGCAGCTTAAGATCCGATGCGGGTCTTCGAGCCCAGGGTTGAGATACTGGCACCGGCTCCGGAAGTGAACATGAACATGAGCATGTTCACTGAGAGATGACAAGACGGTTAAATAGCGACAGGATAGTACCTTGAACGGGTGTTTGCAACATAATGCGGATGAAATGATGGACAGATACCCGCTCGTGTATGTTTCTCGCACGGCACGTTGAAACGTCGTGGTGGGGCGAGACGAAACACTAATTGTAAGATCAGCACTGGGTTCGCAGGTCGGAGCCTCAGAGGAAAGTATTGACGCGGGTCGAAGCGCAAAGCAACCAGAGGCGGTATAGAACAGGACGTATCGGTTGTTGGGTTGTGGCGTGAGCTGTTGTGCGAAGGAAGAGGGAGGCCTATTGCGCGGCGATAGCAAAGGACCATGGTGATGTCATGCGCTAGTGCGCCGCACCAGTCACAGTTCAGAGTGTACTCAGGTAGTCATTCTCTACGATGGAGTGATGGATCTTTTGCAATGTCATTGCGCCTAAAACCCGAACTTGTACACAGAATTACCTATGAGGTATCGACGATAAGCAAGAACAACTGACGAGGATACCCTTGCAAGTGGCTCAATCAGCGATTGCCGTAACGAGCACGTTAACGATGTGAATTGTCGCTATGTGCGTCCCATGAGACTCAACTCCATGACTACATCGAGTCATCTCCTATATCTGACAGAATCCGAGCTTCTCATGCCGTCAAAATTGATCTCATGTTGGGTCTCATGTGTGACACGCTGGGTTCAAAGTAGCCAGCATCAAACGTAGGCTGCCTAGCAAGCTATTTCTACTTCAGTCCAATTATACGCTTGAGGTGCTTGCCGAGCACTTGTCCATGTACGCGCATGAGTTGAAAAATCTAAGTTGCAGCCGCTGTGTTCAAGTTTAACAGAAGCTTGGCGGTAAAGGTCTACTGATGTTAGCATACCTGCCACTATGATCATGGAACCATTGACGGCCTAATTTGAACAACAAATGCGGTCGCACTGTTTCGAATCCCAATCCAGTCAAGCCCACACAGGTTTGCCGCGAAGACGAAGAGACCCCAATATCGCGCACTGTACTCCAGGAACCGGAACGGCTACGACAGTTTTCGACTCAAATAAAACGGTGCGAGTGCCAGCTGACTCTGAACGCTAGAGCCGCACCGAGCTCGAAAGGCTTGCCGAAGAAGAGGAGCAAGCAATTGCGGATCAGCAGCTCGCTTTGGCCCTGTCCTATTTGTAACCCGATGATTAAGACTTTCTACCCGGCTCTACTTGCGCTTCAAACCTAACTCGCGATCATTGTCTTGAACCCGATAAACAGTGGGCACATGCTAAGGGACCCTACACAGACATATGCACGTACTAGATCGCTCCTGGCGCATTTTCTGGTCTCAGTGCGTCGAGTAATACCAGAGAGAAAGCATACCACAACGCAGAACTACTCTCAGAAGCGCACCTCAAATTTTGGGAGGCATGTATTGACGGTGTACCGGCCGTAGACATCTTGACACTTGAGCGTGAACACGTAGCTTACAGCTATTGTCGGCACTGCCTCTTCGATCCCTTCACTATGGCTCTCGACAGCGTCTCCACCTTTCTCCCCAAGTGCTGGAAGGTTCTTACTTCTCTCGATGTCTGCGGCAAGATTGTTCCGAAGCAACACACTAAACAAATCGACCTCATGGTGAGGAAGCTCATGACGCTCAACCCAGCTTATTACGCTGATACTGGCTGCACGGCTCTCATCCGCCTTGAATATATCAGCAGCGAAACAAACACTTGAATCGGGTGTAAAGAGAGAATCTGTATGCAGTGCAAACGCCAGGTACATAAGAAATTGTGTCCAAGTGACATACACGCGTGATTCCTCATTGAATTTAGCCAAGCAATGGAAGTGGTAGCAATGAACATGGTCGAGCTTTCTTGATGTTGTTTCTACATGACTTGCTACTAGAGTCATTCATTCTGCTACTTCTGTGGCGGACCTTGGGAGATATACACGTGTCCACAGTGAGAAGAGCATTATCTCAATCGTCCTGGTCTTACCATCCAAACAGCCCCGATATCAGAATTCGCTGAGCATGTCTATTCCCAGCAATGCATAGATTATAGTGCGGATTGGCTTCGATTCGTCATGCACTGTAGCGGGTGCGAACTGTCGAACTGTTGGCGTTTCATCGACAGCACGCGAAGAGTAAAGATCAATTGTGTTGGCTGTGGGATGTGATAGAGAACCTCGAAACCTGGAGTACTTCCATATAGGAAAGACGCCCATAATAAGCGCGCGCGGCTCAGTGGATCCCGGGTGGGGAGCCGAAATAAGATCTGCACGCATGTATGATGGTGTAGGATGATAGATAGAAACTACATCGGAGGTTGAGCAGTGTTCTCCAGTACATACCTGCTATCAAGCAGCATCGTGGCTCTTTAGAGTTTGGTGAGTTAAACCTCACGAAAATTGCCATTTGGGACGCGTGAACACAACAAAGTGATACCCTTCACCAGAAGAACAAAACTGACAACGAGTCATGTAAGATTTATCCTTATCAGTCGGGCGGGATGTAGCGCGCCACAGTAAGCGTTAAGAGTTCTTCTTGTCGTATACTCATCTTCGAGATTTCGACTCTGTGGTACCTAGGTAGCGACAATCGTGGCAACGAGTTGTGTACCAAGTATCCAACCTCACATGTAGAGAAAACCACCCACCCAGTTCGAATGCGTAGTCTCTTGTGAGTCGTAACAACGTCCTTTACAACAGGCAGCCTAGAGTTGAAGCAAAGATGGACGTGGGAGATCGGCACCAGACCCCTTTCTAGCCGACTTGGCCTGTGCGGGGAGTCGTCTTCACTAACCAGTGCTTATCCTGACGCCTCAAACATCACTTTGCCAATGACCTCTGCTTCCGCAACACAGCCTTCTTCACATTATTTCCACCACCTCAGGAGAACACTTTGCCGCCCGACCCGTCCAAGCCACAATTGCTGAACGGTTCTACGCGAGCTTACCTAGCATGTTTTCAGACTCCTTAGGCACACGGCACTTACGGCAGCACTATACAAGGCGTCGTAACAACAAAAGATTAGACTGAGTGACCCGCTATTCGAGGTATCGAACTATAATAGTCTTCTGACATGCCACTGCAAGCTAGACATGACTCAACACCCCCGACCTCGTGGCGACCTGTGGTGTTGTCAGTATGTCAGACGCGTCGCCGGTACGCGACTGGACATCTTGACAGTTGTCGGCACGTACCTGCATATTCTCCGGTGAACTCTAAACGCGTAAACGGCAACGGCATGAGAGGTCACGGACTATGCGTCTGCAGATCTTTCCTCAATGTTCATGACGCTGACGCTGAATGGCTTGCCTGGTCCCCCCTCTCCCGCCTCAGGGCTTGAACAATGCAAAGGGAAATTCGAGTTGAACGTAAAAGTAAGGTTCAGCTCGTGTTACAATCCTTGCATTTTGCTTGCCTGATCCGTAAATGGAAGACTTACAGCTCATTACTTCTTGCGCCTCGCCTCGGTTTCGGTTATCTCGACCGCATTCAGGTTTCGAGTCTGTACTTTTTACCGCCACACGGCTTGTCTCTTCGTAACTCAAGCCCCACAGCCAAACTTAGCACATTGGTACCTGGCATAGTCTCAAGGGAATCCCATATAACACTGACCGTGATCATGTCTTCGAACGATGTGCCTTGCTTTTCAACACAGTCGTTCATTCTTTTCGCGGTCATTCTTGTCGTGTTCGCTCATCAAGAGTAGTACGGCTTATTTCCATTGCTACAAACATGGTAGCCTACGCTCCTTACCTCGCTGCTACAGCATCTTTGTCATCTGTTTACCACGCAGTTACCCCTTCTGCATTCCGCTCCGCGCCTATCTGCCATGTAGTCACAGCGACAGTGACTGAATATGCCACTGCACGGCCCACTACCAACGCTCATGGACATGGCGGACCATACTATAATCCTTCCAACGACGTACCCCTTCCATTCGAGTGGCCGGGAAAACCATCGCATGGGGAGGAATACCCTCCTCCTCGACCTTCGATTCCATATCAATATGGAGGCCCTGCTAAAGATGCGTATGATGAGCCATGCTGGATCCCAAAGGGTACTGGGCAGCTCAAGCCTTCGCTACCAAATGTTGAACAGTGTGGCAACTCACAATGGGGACTGATTGACTCACCTCATCTTCCGGTCAACGGCCTCCCCGGTAGTAATTCTGATAGCGCCTACACATCGAATTCTACAAAGCTTCCATCCACATTTCCGCCTTATCCTACGGTATCTGGCCATCCAAATAACCATACCAACGCCACAGGCTTCGAGACTATCAGGCAATCCTCCACCAGGACTCTTGGATCCGTTGTTACCGCAAGTGCTGCCAGCACACCAACGGCAGATCCCCTGTGTCCTACCATGCCGGACACTGGCGTGACAAGGACCTACGATCTTCATGTAGCTTATCAGACCATTGCTCCGGACGGTGTTACCAGGAATGGTTTGACTGTCAATGGCCAATTCCCTGGCCCTCTCATCGAGGCCAACTGGTACGAGGTAGCGCGAAATGACGTAAGGCTTTAGCTGACCGTAAACTAGGGGCGATTGGATCTTGTGGAGAGTCACAAATGACCTGACCGATGAAGGTACTACACTTCACGCCCATGGCCTCTTTCAGACCGAGACATCCTGGTATGATGGTGTTCCTGCTATTTCTCAGTGTCCAATTTCGCCCAACGGTGGATACTACGAGATGCTTTTCCGGGCCGATCGTTATGGCACATCTTGGTATCACAGTAAGTTCATCCAAGTTAGACTATGAAATGCCAAAGCTGAGTTTCTTAGGTCACTACAGTGCTCAGTATTCTGGTGGTGCTCACGGCCCTATGGTCATCCATGGACCAAAGCATGAAGAGTATGACATCGACGTAGGACCTATCATCCTTGAGGATTGGTTCCACGCCGACTACTATTCTCTTGTTGAGGGTACCATGAATGGCCTATTCCCGCCTTCAAACAACAACCTGATCAATGGAAGAATGAACTATCCTTGTGCAAACACAACGCTACCTTGCACTCCCAATGCAGGTACCTCCAAGTTCAAGTTCGAGTCTGGAAAAAAGCATCTACTACGTCTTATTAATATGGGTGCAGAGGGCAACCAGAAGTTTAGCATTGATGGGCACCAGTTGAAGGTCATTGCCGTCGACTACATTCCGGTTGAACCGTACATGACGAACGTTGTTACTCTCGCTGTTGGTCAGCGTACTGACGTTGTGGTCGAAGCTATCGGCAAGCCCAGTGATACGTTCTGGATGCGCTCTCAGCTCGCCCAAGGATTCCGCTGCACTCTGACTGACGGTATCTCGCCCAACGCCCTTGCGGCAGTTTACTACGAGGATGCCGATACCAACGCCATTCCTCAGACAAGCTCTGATGTCACCCAGGCTCAGCTTGAGCAGTGCAAGAATGACCCTATTACGTCCGCCATTCCGCTCTGCAAGATCCCTTTGGAAGAACCTGATCATGTCGAGCGCGTAGACTTCGATTTCCGCTCCAATGGCACAAACTTCATCTGGTACCTCAACAACAGCACATATCATGGGAACTACAACGAGCCCACACTCCTGAAAGCGAAGCGTAACGAGTCAGACTTCGATCCCAAATGGAACGTGTACCAGTTTCCTGGTGCAAAGAACGTCCGGATTCATCTTGTCAACCACGGTCTTATTGGTGGCCACCCTATGCATCTCCACGGCCACGACTACCACATTCTTGCGGAAGGCTTTGGTGAATGGGATGGTGTCGTCACAAATCCGGAGAACACGCTGCGTCGCGACGTTCACCAGATGCAGAATGCGCGCAATGTCACCGGAACAGTTGAGCCCTCGTACCTAGTTCTACAGTTCACTCAAGACAATCCCGGCGCCTGGCCTTTGCATTGTCATCTGGCGTGGCATGTTAGCGGTGGGCTTTTCATGCAGATTTTGGAGAGGCCGGAGGACATCCAGAAGCAGGCCTTTGAAGACGAGCAATTTGAGCTCTGCGATACCTGGGATGCCTATACAGCTGGAGTTGTTCTTAACCAGATCGATTCCGGCTTGTAGCCGAGGTGCTAGAGTCATGAGATGGCGGCAAAGTCTACAGATGCTACCTAAGTACCTATTCAGGCCCCACCAAGCGAATCACGTGATCCACCCACGAACGCTCACTTGGTGCTTTATACTTCTACCACATTACTTAGCTTTCCTTCCTTGTACATAGAACAATTAATTTACTCTTACGTTCTGTTATACATCTTCAGATGCCTTTAACAAGCGCGTGCGATTCGAATGTACCCTAAATCGCCGTGTGCAGTGATGCCCAGATGTCACGTCGGATCTTTACAAACATCGCAGTTGCGGGAGTTCCATAATCTGAATCAAGGGTGAGTATGGTTATGTGTCCGTGAGCCCTCACAATGGTTATGACCTTTATCTCTCTACCACGTATCGTTTTGGTAGAGCACAAGCAGTGGAATCGTCATGGCCATGACGTCATGGACCACGCAAACTTTACTACTTTCTATTAGCGAGATTAATCAATGTAGCCATTCGCGTACATTCAACTCGTAATCGCGACACCTAGGCTTTATCATCGTCTCGTACCAAGGGTTCAATAAAAATGAACACCGCTCCCCAACAACTCAAAGTTCTGCTGACCGGCGGTGCCCGAGGAATTGGGCGCGGACTGTTCAGACAACTCCTGACAGCTGGACACGATGTCATAATCCTAGACTCCAACAAGGAAGAGCTAGAGCATGTCAGATATCGAGCACAAGAATGGTCAAAAGGGCGGAAGGAGAGCTGGTTTGCGCTTGAATGCGACCTCAGCAAGCGAACGGAATTGAAGACTGCTGTCGACGAAGTTGAAAGAAAGTTTGGGGGCAGGCTCGATGTTTTGATCAACAATGCTTTCCCCACCGATCTCTCACTATCCGAAGATCGAAGTATGGAAGCTGAAGGAGAAGACATCGAAAAAGAGTGGGATTTGAAGGTTGCGATTGGACTCACTGCGCCGTACATACTCAGCCGCCTTTGCGTCCCACTTCTAGCTGCTGGACGCTCCACTCCGAACTCTCCTGGTACTATCATCAACATGTCATCAACGCGCGCCTACCAATCTGAATCTGACCACGAAGCCTACTCATCCGTCAAAGCTGGACTGTTAGGATTGACACAGTCGATGGCAGTATCTTTAGGCCATCGTCACAAGATCAGGGTCAATGCAATTATCCCGGGATGGATTCACGTAGCCAACGAGAACAAAGCTGCAGATGATGGTAATGTCAAGTGGGAGGAAGGCTTGAGCAAGGAAGACACTGCTTGGCACCCATCTGGGCGAGTGGGTAAAGTGGAGGATATCGCGAAGGCGGTAGAATACCTCATTGGAAACGAGTTTGTGACTGGTCAGGAGGTTGTCGTGGATGGCGGTGTCGGGAGAAAGATGGTCTACCCCGAGTAAGTGTATAAGATCGACGCATCAACACCTTTCGCATCAGCTCAAAGATCCACTATTTGTTCCTCATCCAAATGTCGGATCGAAAGCTAGGAGATCATGTTTCAATCTATATTCCACTGACACGCCTTTTGGCCACTACCAACTACGTGCCTTTAGGATAAACGCAGTGATGTAGACATTTCTAGTTTCAAAGGTAACAGTTCTTGTCTTTGGGACAAGTCTTTGTTCCTCAAATATGGCTCATAGATTGACGGCAATTTTCCTACGCATGCTTTCGTTAATGTCTACTGGATCAGGTTTTGCTTGGATAGAGTACAAACCTAATGGTTGGGCCTTGCATCGAACCAGAGTAGGTTGTATAGCCATAGACAGAGACTAGGCTTGGAACAACATACCTTCTGCGCGCCTTCATACAGTCACAGGCTCGTTACAACCGTGATGTGCCTCAACGACTGCGCGTAAAGAGGAGTATTGCTCGGAGCTTGAGATTCGCGCCATCTCGTGTGAGATTGGCCGGCGCCACTCATGGCCGCGAATGCACGCGTGACGCTAACGCGACAAGTCCTTTACTGTAGCACGACTTTCTCGCGTTTCACTATCTTCATCTAGACTGCACAAGCGAAAGGTTGTCAAACGGAGATCCAATAGTAGTAAATGTACATTCGGATCATAACCCTACAGAGAAACTTGTCCTAGCTAAATACTACATGCAGTCTTTGTCATAGACAAAGATCTTGTGTCGAACAAAGGGAGAATTCCAAGCAGCTTGCCTGTCAAACAAAAGGTACATGCAACTCAGATCTGGTCCAACTCAGAAAGAGCTATGACCATGTTGAAGATTAATGATAGTGAGGGTGACAGCCCAGTGCCACACGAGGAAGACTTGCAACGATATCCTGCAGAAAGAGAACCGAGAAAGAGGTAAGCCCTGAGAAGAGAGGGGCATGGAATGGAAACGACTAGCCTACTTATGACCAATGTCGATATTCTCTCCTGTGCTCACTGACATACGCAAGTTCAGACGATGCTTTCTTCCATTTACTTTGACTTGGCGTTTGTATCCGCCTTTCGACCGCTTTACGGGTAGTTGCTGACGAGTGACGTGATCACATTATAGTCGTTTGCAGGTAAACAATCTGTGCGTCGAGCTCCCCAGAGAAGACTACAGCGCACCCAAACCAGTCAAAAACTTTCCCATCCAAAACCTTCCTTTTTTCTCCATTTCGGACAAGGAAAATCAAGTTGGATCGCTAGATTTGCGCCCTTGTCATCATCGAATTCACAATGACAACAGCCGATAATGCGACAAGCCTCTCCACCAGCGAATCGTCGTAAGAATTACTCGCTATAGCATTTACATCATGGACTAACTATAAGTATAGTGAGCCACCCATACTCCACGACCAAGGCATGCCCAAGGCTGCGCGCGCCCACCGTAGCAGGACTGTCAAGAAGAACGCACTTTCCAAGGACCTCAACGTTACTATTTCCTCTTCAGATCAGGCTCTTTTGACCAAATCCGTCATTACCGTCAAGAACGTCATGACGGAGCAAAACGCTGGGTCGACAGCCAATGCTCCCAGCATCAGTGATGCTGGTGTTTCGGCATCTGATGCTTTGCCTAAGAAGCCGGGTCAACTATCGTCTTCTCCTATCGTGAATCAGGCCCTAGACAACCTGTTGGTAATGATACGACCTGAGCGTCGAGATCTTCTTCAGGGCCCTTGCATTACCATTCACGTGGGTGAAACGTCGGTTATCAATATCTCCAAGCGCGCTGCAATGGCTGCTTCTTCTGTCCTTAACAAGCACTCCACCGCCAATCCTGAGTCGCTAGAATATCGTTTCTCGCGTGGTCAGGTTCATCCTGGCGCAGTCCGCTTTCTGCTCATTGACTGGATGCAGGAGACGTGCAATGAGTTTGAAGCCTATGCCATCCCAGCTCAGAAGACCTTTGGCGAGGACGTTGCTATCTTGTGCGCCGCTCGCTTGCTGGGCATGGAGCGTTATTGCCGTCATATCCTCACCGGCTATGTTGGTTACCTTAAGACCCAGCTTCCGAGTTACGAGGAGATCATTGCTATCGAACAGAACGCCACCTCTGATAAAGACCCACTCTGGACTGCGATGATCAACCACCTCTGTCATGATCGCTACAAAGGTCTTATACCTGATGCTGAAGACTTTGAGGCGTTTCTGGAGAAGCACACTCGTCTGAAGAAGGCTATGGAGTCGGCTGATATCTTCTTCGCTGGATACGCGAAGAAGCGAGCCGAGGGCCGGGAGAAAGAGCGCCGCCAGCGCTGGGAGTAAAACCAGGCTGAGAGACGTCAGCGTATTGCAAGAGAGCAGCTTGCTGCTGAGTCATTGAAGAAGAAGCTAGACGAGAAGGGCTCCGGTCTCATGTCTGTCACGGCGGATGAGGCGAGGGTGCTACGAGGGCGCACTCGCACCCGTTAGAAGACCGCTGCGCCTGTTCCCTTGACCCACATTGATATTTAGTCAACATGGTTTCTTCAGATGTGGAATGGTGCCTATGTGTGCGAGACAAACATAGCTTTGCCCTGCGAGAACGCTGAGGCTGATGAGTATAGGCATGCGCAACGGACCTGGATTTGAGCATGTCTTTTCATCTTGGGTTTTACATGAGCAGTGTGGCACTGCGCTGAGAAACATCAAGTAACAGACATGATCATACATGATGGATAGATATAAGTGTTGATCAAATCCAGTCTCCAAGCTTTCACATGAAAGAGTTATGCTAACACCTCTCCTGTCTTCTGAATGTCCCTGTTACCTTATGCCTCAAAAGTCGTCCGCCCAGTCATCACTGCTCGCCTCATCCCACTTTTGTTCTTCCTGCTTGGCCTTGCTATGGCCCACGCACCAGGTAGGCACTGTTACAGGCGGCTCACACTCTTTGCACCTGGCTTTTATGTACACCCTGCTGTCTATACCAGAAATTCCAGCGTCGAAGTAATGTGGCACAACGTCGATCATGTTGTTGCAATAGGCCTCTGCGCAAATGATTGTGTGAGCGCTAGTTGAAATGAATGGCCACGAATGGGACGTTTCAGGAGAAGGTGATGATGGAGATAATGATGGGCCTGACGAGCAGGTTTTGGTGATATGAATACCGTGTTGCGGGCTTCGACGGATGACGACGGCACTGTTCGGAGGGTAAGACATTTCACTCTCTTTGTGTGGATTGCTTTCTTGCTTCTTGACGAAATAGGTAGAAACTTTGACAAGGAGTGGGTTGAGTGGGGAGTAGAGTCGTATATGAAGTTGATGATTGATTGTGCCAACTTTGACAGTGATGATTGCGTGAAAAGAGCCAACAAGCAGCCATGGAGAAGAGCGTAGAGCGGAGCGACTAGGGAAGCGCTTAGAAGACATGAGAAACCTACCTCATCGCCTGTCTGTCACCTATCGATTACACGGCCCACACACTCCGTTAGCAGTCACTCGCTCATCTTTTAGCAAGTCTCTCGCGCTCCGTCTGTCCATGCGACCTAGCTCCATCATCATCGGAACGGGTACCATATTCTTTCTTGAGAGCTTGGTCTCCGGTATCGTTCTGAAGAATGTTTGCTGCTCTGGTAGACTCGCTTGGCTCAGGGCCGATAGTTTACTTGCAGTTACTAGGCACGTAGCAGGAGATGTTTGTACATGAGAAAGAGTGACGAGGGTTAGGAATTGGCGGCCAATGGGAAAATGTAGGTTGCGTCTCAGACCATGATTGGTTGATAGGCAGAGCTCCTTCCGTCTGAGGTACAGCCCCGCCGGCTAAAGCTGGACCCGCTCCCCACTAGTTGTTTAGCATCATTTGCATCATCACAACACGTTACATCCTGCCTGCCATTGTGCTTCTCACCACTGTTAGTCATTTCCTACACTCTCCACTCGCGCTTGGTTCTTCATTGCCACCATGGTGTCTACGCGCTCACATCCCCAAGGCGACTTCCCCGCCACCGAACCTTCGCCCGTTAAGAAGGCGCCACGGTCGCGGACTTCGACTGCGTCCCCGGCACCCATATCTTCCCCGGACCTTGACTCCCCACCATCGGCAAAGTCGCTTGCCAGACGCGCAGTTTCCAATGCCAAAACCGAGATCAGCCCTCCCTCTCCATCCGAGATCAATGAGCCGGCCTGGTGCCACACAGCGTCAAATCTCACTATAGTGTGGCTCGCCATATCCATGCCTCTCGTGTTATGGGACTCCCTGTACATCCTTTTGCGCCCGCACACTATGGCTGGCGGTGCACTTCAGTGGCCAATCTGGAAACCGTATGAAATCTATGCCTCGATTGATCACGTATACGGATGGCCCGGGTGGGAAAACAACGATGGATTTGGTGGCGCGCAAGGCTTTCTGAACGCTATCGAACTCGTGCTGTATGGACTTTATGCCATGATCATCTATAACCATGGTGTGCCCACGACTGGAGGCACTGGGCTGCAACTCAGTGAGGGCGTAAGCAAGTTCCTTGCCGGAGGCCGGAAGATACGCGGAAAGAATGGGAATCGCGCGCTGATTATCGGCTTCGCTGCTGCGGTTATGACTCTCAGCAAGACAGTACTATATTGTGCGTATTCATGCGGCACATAGCCAAAGCACAGGCTAACAATTGTAGACTTCAACGAGTATTTCTCTGGCTTCGCAAATGTCGGCCATAACGACTGGGCTACGCTGTTGTTCTTCTACGGTATCATGAAGTGAGTCGAACTGTTTTTCCGCCTGCGCTTAGCGTCTGAAGTGACAGGAACGCTGATTCGTTCCGTAGTGGTCTTTGGGTAATTTTCCCAGCATATATGACTGTCGTCTTCGGTACCGATATCCTCCAGGCGCTCGACATTGCAACTGAGTCTTCGTCCAAGAAGCGTTATTAGCTTGAATCTTGAGGAAGCTGTTCACACATACCAACGCTTCAAAGTTTGGTGCCAACTTATAACAATGCCCAAATATTCAATCAAGACGATTTTGCGTCCTTGCGGTGCCCGCGAAGGCGTCGAATAGCTGTACGAAACAGTCCTCTCAAACGTTCCAAGGTACTGCCGTGCGAGTCCCCAGCGGCCTCGGCACCGGCCTGCATGGGTGATGGCGGCTTTATAGGAGCTAGGTTCAGTGGACTATGCAATTAACAACACGATACCACTCACCAGCACTACTCCTCCATCAATATCACGCTTCAACTCAAGAACGACGGATTCCGAGTGCCAGTCGTCTGGTGGCGGGCTTGCCGATATTCGCTGCGCATCGGCGGTTAGATGATCAAGCATGTATGGTGCTTGTAATATTATTGGCGCCATAGGCATTGGTGGTGGTTTACTTTTGATGCGCTGAGTAGCTCCAAGGGGTGTCAGCCGAGTAGAGGGTTGAGTGTGAAATAGGTGTACAAGGGTGCATCACGGATCCGCCGGCCGGAAGTCGCATTCACTGTTTGATCGCGATACGTTCACTTTCACAAGCATTTAAGATATTGCCATACGTTTATCACTACAATATCATAGGCCTCAAATCGTTTGAGGCATCGAACTAATGGCCGCTTCATTACTCATTCTTGTCACTTGCATCCTGTATTCAGAAACCTCCAATCGCTCCCTCGCATTGACACCGAGTCAAGATGAACGTCTTCAAACTTTCGGTGAGCCCTTACATCACATTGCATCCCACTCCCAATCCGCAAGCCCTATCTTTTCTCTTCTTTTGACTACTCTCTGCCTCCAAGATTGCAGCCCTTCGATCGTCTCCCGCACGCTGCTCACTCACTACCCTGCGTCGCTCATCCAGATCGGCCATGCTCATCGCTTTAGCAAACGGACCTTCGTCATCCTCAACAAGCGCCTTTTTTCTCTCCATCTCATCTCTTCCAGGCGTACTGAACACAGATTGCTTGCTGGACGCTGTGCCCCCAGAGAGGTGGGAGTCCTCGGATATGGATACCTGTCGCTGCACATTGGAGGCCGGCCCTATTACATTGTTCCACAAAGGTGCATCCACGGCGTGCTGTCGCGGTGCTAGATGCATTCGTGGGTGAATACCGTGCTCCCGTTCTGGTCGCTGCATCGCCGCACCGTCATTTGTTGACGACATATAGCCAGGCTGAGACATGAGTGGCCTTCTCTCCATTGGCCTTGCTCTTGTCTCCATAGCTTCGCGCATCTTCTTACGTTCGGCATGAGCGTAAATCTCTCTGAGCGTCTCTTCTTCTCTAGAATACGTTTGCGGATGAGCGATATCGAAATATCTAGAATGATAGGGTGATTGATCGTCGAACGATTCGAAAAACTCGAGCTTTGGTGTTGGGTTTGAGATAGTAGAAGTGAGAGTGGGAGGATTTGATCTCGACTTTGGTTTAGAAGAGCGTTTGGAGTTGGGGCAAGGCGTTGGGTTGCCGAGTGGGAGATATGCCGAGCGCTTCTGGGAATTTGTCATACGAGTGGGTGTATCTGGGCAATCCCAATTTGCGTCGCTGTCGCTCTCGACTTGAACCTGCTTTTGATGTGGACTCGCACCCTGTTCTCGGTCGTGGCCATGCGATGGCGACAGGCGATGCAAGGATAGCTCCGTTGGTGTGCTATACGGCCGCTTCTTGGGACTACCCAACCTCGAAGTGCGCTTCAGTGGCGATTTCCTCTCCATTACACTGCCACCTCTTTTGGTAGTCACGTTGGCAGTGATATCTGCAGGAGAGCTGCCGAATTTGCCGTTTTCCGCGGTTGCAACATAGTTTGCAAATTCTGTCTCTTGTTCGCCGAAACCATCACTCTGAGGCTGCTCTCTTGCGTTCTCAGGTGTAATTTGGTGATCGAAATTCGGCGTGCCAGTGCTTGCTAGATCCAGTCGCAGTGCGGCACTCAAACTCGGCGGCGGTGATGGAGAGATCGCACGAATCGTAGAGCGTGCTGTTGATGGACGAGTAGGGCTTGGAGGTCCTGAAGTAGGCGGACGCGGGCGAAAATGTGTTGACATTGTCGCGATCAACAATTGTGGTGTTGTTGACGAAGATGCGGGTGGTTGCTGTGAGGATACGGACGGGACCCAAAAGAATGACCATGCAGGGCAAAGCCGATCAACGGGACTCTCCGAACTTGTTGCCGCCCAGGATGGAAAGGCAAACGCGGTATTCTGAAGAAGCGAAAGTGAGTGTGAATAAGTGACGCGCTAAGAGTGTTTGTAAAATACTGTTCAATGGTATGAAGGCGAGATACTCGCGGTTTGCAAAAGCAAACCAACCTCACTTACCGACCAATACCACAGTACTACTACAAGCTTTACATCCGTGCGCTCAGAGAATCCAGAATAGAACTCGCAAACGATGCGACAAAAATGTTCCAGCGATAAGCCAGGTGTTGTTGTTGTTGCACAAGTACGTCATTGTTGTTGTCTAAGACAAACGACTATACAGTCAAACTTCAAGACAAAGAAAGGTTTAAGGGATATAAGGACTACTTTACCCGTAGATAGAACATTACAACTTATCTCAATACACTTCAGTTAGTCCATAATCCAACAATTGTGTAGCCTTTGCGGTACATGTGCCGAAGTGCTACAGCATAACGATCCGATCACCATAGCGAAAACTTCATACTCAGTAAAACCATAGCTTTCCAAATAAGATTACTAAATTCTGGTTTTTCTAACATGTTCCGAACTATATCACTCAATCAAACCATTCTTCCGTGTAACGCGACCACCTTTGCTGCCGCCATTCCAGTCTATCATTTCTTCGCATGTAAAACAGCCAAATACTTTATCCTTACCTCTTCCCCTGAATCACTGTCGGTCTCGTCGTCGCTATTTCCAGGACTTAAATTTTTGTTGTTGTTGTCTTCCTCTCCATCGCTCGAAACATCCGAAGAGCACTGGTCCGTATCCGTGTGGATTTTAGCATCGTTCCTAATGACATTTTCGCCGCAGGTATCTCTTTCGTCTTCATCATCACTACTCTCGCTGTAGTACTCGGGAACAGTAGCTAAGGTGTACGCATGATGATCCTCCCGGTTTGGAACCTCGGTTACTTGGACGGCATCGTGGGCTTCTTCCCTTCCAAATGCTAGTAATTCCCGACACGCCGTTGGCTCGTCGCGTAATTCCGCTGCCTTGGAAACACCAGTTCGAACAGGTACAGGACACACGACAATCTCCCTCCATAGCCCAGGTTCCTGAATTTCTCCGTTCGCACTACTTCTGTTATTTGTATTCAAGCGGTCCTTGTGCTCATGGCTGTGCTTCGACGTGTCTTGACTCTCGAGCTTCTCGAGCGTCAGTGCAGCTTTATCAGTCCATTTGCCGATAGTCCGAAGTGCGACGATTCCAATTTTGATGTTGCGCTTGTCTTTAATGTTAAGATTGTTACGGGTCTCTACTGGAGCTGTGGCTTCTGAAGTCTTGGAAGTCATGTTGTTGGCCGAGTGTTGAAGAAGGGGGACAGAATCGGAGCGCAGCTTGAGTTTCTGTGAAAGATGCATTCTGTAAAGAATCCTACGAACAGACTTTCGATAGATCTAACAAGGCTTGTTCTACAAGCACCAGGCGCTGTTGATGAGGTGTCGTGGTAGTGGTTAAGACAGCTGGACTCAATAGCATTTATGAGGTGGCGACACCGCTGGCTTCATATGAGGCCGTATTAGATAGACGTGCGCTGTGTTTGTAGCACTGATTAGTGATGCTATTGAACTTCCTAGGCTGTGACATCCGATTGTATGAACTCGCTGACTTCCAATGTGTAGATCACAGAGTCCTGAGGTGTAGAACCATATCTACAAATCTCATCGATAGCCGTGAAGCTTTCTCATGGATCTGATACCGATCACATCACAACACAGCAACACCACCTCGGATCACCTAATCCATCGTCTCTGTTGAATTCCATGTCGGGATACACGCCAAGTATCTGTTCTCTGTACTGTTCTACCTCCCTTGAAGGAACCTTGCCAACGCTTTCAGAAGATATTGACTTCTGATACATCGACGCGCTGTCCGCTGTCAAACGATTCAATTGAACGTTGGTGCGCTCTCTTGCACCCCCGCGTTGTCGACGTTGGATCTCGAGATCTTCATAGGAGCCCCAAGGCGGCGGTCTAGGACCATTCTGAATGTCGCTTGACGAGTGAAACGATGGCGCAGGATTTGCGAGGAAATGTACTGGTTGGAGGGAGCTATCGCGCTGCTGAGAGATCAGAGACGGCAAGGCCAATTTGTGGGAAGGCAGCCGTCCGGAATTGTATCCCTGGCTTGCATGTTCGTCTTGGACTTGTTGCAGTGCTCTCACATCATTATCTATATCTTCCCAGTGGCCACGAGATATATTCTGCCTGGCGCTGGGACGATTTTGGGCGTAATCGCTGGAAATACTGCGTTCCCACAAATTTCGACTAGACTCGCACACGGTGGCGACATACGGATGTCCAGTCGAGCTCAGAGGTGTGATCTTTCCCTCTGGTGCAGTGCCTCGACTCCATACGCATGGTATAGGTGGGTCCGGCAGTGATCGACGTGGTATAAGATACTCAGCTGACTTCCATCGTGGCAAAGTTTCGGTGTTGGAGCTGCTGAGCTTCGAGAGAGGTATGATTTTTTGCGTATGAAACTGTTCATACACTTCTTTGTATGCCTCCTTGTTCCACGTGTCGTCTTGTTGATTAGGTACGGATCTCAACGAGCCCGTTCCTAGTGGGAGCGGTGGCAACGGGCGCTGATGTGTTCCCATACGATTCCCATGCTCCATTGGTCTGCGTGAAACGGACCTAGTGTCTGTTCTGGTGGAAGGTTCCAATTGTCGCAGCTGTGCATGTGATGGTGGCTGGTCGTACGCGACCACTTCGGATGAAGCTAACAAGTGGCTGCCGCGTGGACTGACAGCTCGTGTAATGTGATTTGGATCCTTTCCCGATCCTGTACGCTCACACAATAGTTTTCCGTTGGGCGGAGATGTTTGTCTTTTGCTATACTGTTCCACCTTGCTTAATGTTACAGATTCGACATATTGCTCAGGACTGCTTGCCGCAGCTTGAATGAAAGAGTTGTTTTGCTCGAATCTTTCAGTGTCCGTAAAGTGTGCCCTGTCAGCGGCCGGCCACAAGGGTGGCGCGGATGCGCAAAAGGGTTCCTGAACAAGAGGGTCCGGACTTGGAGGGCGTGAAGAAGCTTCCGTTACGCAGTAGGCCTGATAGGGCCGCCTAAAAGGTGTATCGTAGAACGAGAATAACGTCTCGCTAGGCGCATTTTCAGGAATATCAGAGAGCATGAGATGACAGTTGTCAGTGATTCCGGCGGTCCCCAGATGTCGAAGGTTTGCGCAAGGTCAGTTTCGAGGGTGAAGGAGGTATCAATAGTAGGGCATCGAGAAGGAGTGATACAGTACACTTAAAGTCGACTGTACACTGTTTGTTACTGGAGCGCATCGTCCCTTTAGGTGTTCCACAGAAGTTTTCACAAAAGGTCAATATTCTTACTGTTGGCTATAACGTCATCGCACCAAGTACGCACCTTGTGATCGAGGCAATACAAGAAACGGCAGTGGAGGAGGGTCACATAGTCCGTGCACAGACCCTAAACGCCCACTGCAGAGTAGCAGTCTTGTGCACCTTTTCTCAGACCTTGCTCAAATAGCCAAGTGAAGCCTCCTCTATACCCACTTTCTCTAATCCGCTTAAGTATCCATATCTCGAACATGCCAATTTTTTCGCCTTGTGTTCCTCTGCCCTCAAAGAAGCCGAGAGCATCTTGATAACCAACCTGCCAGCCGTATTCGTACTTTTCGTGCTCATAGTTACCATTGGGATCCACGCCGCGCCAATAAGACACGTGCTGTTGAATCGCCTCATGCATACGCCCGTCCTTCTCGTGTCTAGCTTTTTCGGTCATCCGGAGTCTGTCGTCAGCGGTCGTTTTTGTGTACTGGGGTGGCACAATACTCCCATCTTCTGTTTTAGCTTTAAACCCCCACTCGCCGCCAGGCATCCAATCCATTTTCCAAGTCCAAAAGAAACTGCCGCCAGCTTTCTCTTGGTACCTTCTGCTCTGCGCTTGACCAAATTGTCGTACGAGCTCCTCCTTGGGGACTCCGCCGCCCTTGGCCCAAGAGTCTTCAGTCATAACGCAGGAGTATTCGCCAACAATAACCTGTACTGCACCACGATCATGCACAGAGCCTTCTTTACCATCCAACTGTTCTAGCTTGGTGCCGGCTTCTTCGATGATCTGCTGTGGTGTCTTCGCTTTGTCTTGGTCTGTAAAAGCCCAATAATAGTGCGTGTCAACCACCACTGGGCATTGCGGATGCGAGTATATGGAGTTCTTCTGCAAAGACCAATCTACCGCTTTGCCTAGGTTCCAGCCATCAGATATTATGATAGGGATTCCGGGGTCTATGGCGGACACGGCGGCTATACACTCGTCGTACCACTCGTACATGCGCTCTGATTCCCATTCAGCCTCGTTGACGAGTTGGAGACCAGCAATCTCAGCTCCCGCTTTGGTATCTTCTGCAATGAACTGGCAGCAGCGAACACCTAACGCACGATTACTGGGATTGGTCCATAGCTCGGCACGCCCACTGTTAGTGCCTGAGTGTTCCTGCGCGTTTCCGCCCCCTGGTAGTGCATGCAGATCAATTAGAACGCCGATTGAGCGTGCGCGCAGACGTCGGATTAGGGTGCGAATACTGTCCCATGCTCCTGTGTAGATCTCAGCATAGGGCTCGAAAGGTGTTCCCTGGGTGAAGACGGCGCCTGGGAGGTCGTAGTAGCCGATGGGCAGGCGGACAGTTGTACATTTGGCCACATTAGCAAGCCATCCAATGGCGTTATCGTGTATAATATTGGCCCAATGCTCCTCGAACTTTTGCTTCGTCTCAGCAACACCAACCCTGTCCACCCAGGCTTGCACTGCTGCAAGCTCGCTTGATCCCTCAGCACCATCAGGAAATCGAGAACCCTGAAGCCATCGTTCAATAACGTAAACAGATCCAAGATTGGTTCCATGGTGATAGCGATAGCGAAGAACATCCAGCGTTGTCGGGTCGCTGATACCATGGTGTTGATCATGGCCATGGTCGTGACCGAAGCCACCTTGCTGATGAGCTGGGGAAAAGTGCTGTTGATGTTGTGCTTGTTGGTTTCCACCAAAAGGGGAGTTACCAGACTCGTCACGTTGAGAGAAGCCTTTGAGCTCCGCCTTGGCTTTTTGAAGGAATCCCTTCATCGTGAATGCGCTGATCTCATTTAGTGTGCTGGTGAGGGTATGCATTGACCAAAGAACATACCAACTGATGTTGAAGAGAATGACTCATGTAGCAGAACTCGAGTGGTGTCTTGGGTCTCAGGTCTGAGCGTATCTTTTGTCGTGATGGTTGTGAGCCGAATGTTGGGTGCAGTTTAGTAGGTGTGCCTCAGCCGTGGTGGAGCCGCGGTGGAGCCGCGTAACCACGCATTTACATCTTTGTGATGACGTAAAGCAAGGAACTGGAGATCCGGTAGGTAGGCAAGTGCGTCCGGCATGCATGCAGGTGCGTGCACGAATTGTGGCTGCATCTTATCGTGCTATCTTATCTGTGGGCCAATTACCCGGCTTGCCTCGGTACCTGGGCTAATTCGAGCGTGCTCGCGCTCAGGACGCGTCTGCTATGATCATCGTATATCGGTCACCATGAGTTGAGAGAGAGAGAGAGAAAGTTGGTCAATTGACGCGTAAATGCCTAACCTGTGCACTAGTTGGATGTATTGATAGCGGCCTTCATACTGGGGCGTCACAGCTTGCGGCAACGGCAACTGTGCAAGGTGCAATAGCAAACAGCCGCAGTGTGTCTCTCGGAAGGCTCACCGTGTTTAATGCCGATTCAGAGCACGATGAGGGTAGAGGACAATGTACACAACTAGACGCGGAATAGAGTTGAAGTACCTGCGGACTGTCCTGACTTTTCGCTCTACTAGTCGAGGCGCCATCCCGCCATTTCGCCAAGCTGGACCCTGACATGCCACCCAATCGCGTCGGCTGGCGCCTGTAATGCGACTTCCCCAACCACGACGCGACTGCTCTCACGCATCTTCCACAACTCCAATTCTGTTTTCATATCTTTCTCTTGAAGTTTTAAAGGAGCTGAAAAGACTCACTGCCATTCTGCTACTAGTCTTCTGTCCGTAAATCAACAGTGCACCCCTGCGCGTCGTTCGTCCCCATCTCAACGCGTCGCAACAGCCGACAAGCCGCAGAGACAACATGAGCGCCACAACACCGCAGAGACCAAATATGGCTTCTCAACATACTCCCTCCAAGACGCCCTCGCGACGCGTGCTTGGCGATCTCACCTCCAAAGCCATCAATACACCCTCTACCCCAAAGGCCTACGATCCAGCTGAAGTCGCTCGCGCCCAAAGCCCACTAAAGCAAGTCACGACGCACACTCCAACGAACCCTATCGGCAAGGAAAATCTCATGACTCCCCAGACGAATTCAAATAGCAAGAAGA